ATGCCCCACCATGCCCAGCTTCCCTATAGTTTTTTAAATGCAGCAGACCCACAGCCACTGAACTCACTTCTCTTCCACAAACACATAGATGCATTAGCCACAGACCCAGACATTGAATATATCTTAGAACAAGATGGCCATGATTGCAGATCCTACCCTACTATATGTATGGGGAATGTAGACAATAAATACATGAGTAAACAGTTAATATAGAGCACACACTAAAAACAAAGCAAGGTAATATAAATAAATAGCATCAGGCTTTTCACTGTTAAAAGAAAAAAAATTCCTCCTCTCTGGTACCATACTTATTAAACTGTAGGCTCTTCCCTCTGTATGTGTGATTTTCTGTTTTCCTGTTCATTTTGGGGGTGGTGCCGGATATGGAATGCAGAGCCCCACACATACTAGGTACTGGGCACTGAGCTACACGCCCAGCTTCCTTATCATAATTTGTACGGTGTTTATTGCATATGTTCTTCCTACCACGGCCTGTTTTAAATCTTTGCAGTCAGCTTGTAAATGATCCCCTACATCTTATACCTTAGACCCTATATCCGTGTATACATACGCAATATTGGGCCAGGTGAAAACCCAAGTTTCTTCAGCTGCTTCTGCAAGTCCCTGTCACTCAGGCACTTCACGTCCACCATGATGACCTCTTTTCTGACAGTGGAATCCTGCAAATGGTACAACACCGAATTCTTTAAGACAGCCTCATGAATAAGTGCCAAAGCTGCATTCGCCACAGAAGGGTCTGCAAAGCTGCCTCCCCACTCTTGGAGGTGCAGTCACGAAGAAGCACACGGGACCACTTCCGCCGTTCTCTGCCATCAGGCCCTGCTAGCACGAGCGCCCTGCACGCAGAGCTTTCAGTGGGTGTCATTCTACCCAACGTCCTGACTCCTCCACCCAGCTAATGTGAGGAAAAAAACCTTCTGGACAAAATGAGCAAATATTTCCATTACTGCTCGGGAACTGTGCGTAAGGCTCACTCTCCGGGAAGATAAGAAGTTAATTAAATATGAAAGTGCTGAGAGAGATTTTTTTAGTGAGTTAAATAAAAGTTATTTATCCCTGCCCTCCTTTTGATGACAGTACAGAGAGTACAGAGCATTCGGTTATTGCGAACAGTAGTAGTTTTCACACTTGCAATTTAACTCTGAGCATAACGAGATGGTAGTTTTTAATTAACCACCAGCAGACTTTGTAATTGCTGAATTGGCATTTGAAAAAAGTCAACTATTCATTCTCTGGCACACAAATTGATTTATATAGATTTATGCAAGCCTTGATCTGGCTTCCAACCCTCCGCAGCCTCGAGCTTAATCAGTTTTATCCCATTGATCTCTTGATCTCCCTAAAACCAAGCCCTCCACCCGTTTAACAAAATCGTGAGGAAGACAGACCCATTTGTCAAGGCTTTTAACAGAGATTTTTAATTTAGGAGCTTACTTATTGTACCCCATTTCTACCATGTTTCAAGGCTTTCTGATATTGCCATGAAAACGACCACAAGATAATTACTCAGCATAGGAGGAATCTAGACCAATTTTTAGCAATGACTTTGCTTTTATTGGTGATCAGTCAATGTCCAATCAGGAAGAATATTGTATACAAGCTAGAAAAAGCCATGAATTGTCTCATATGCCAGCGTTCAGGAGCACCTACCTGAACAGCTTTCAGCTTAAAGCACAGCTTATTTTTCTTGTGTACAGTAGGTGCTTAGTAAATGTTAATTTCCTCCTCTCTGTGTTTGGGAAGCTGCACTAAGGAACAGCCTAATGCTAGGAAGAAATGGGGTACTGCCCCTCGGCACCTCAGATTTTTTTTCTTTACTGGAGGCTAGCTTAGGCAGAGCCTATGGCATCTGTTCCTGAGAACAGCTGTCTGTTTCCCCAGCTCCCCAAAAATAACTTCCGAAGAGCCCTCATCAATTTCAAGTGACACTAGGCAATTGCCTAGAGGGAACATGCACATGGAAGAAAAATATTCAAATGAAATCCAACTGGATGATTAATCCACTTACCCCTTCACATGGCTATCTAAAGTCTATGCAACTGGACTGGTTACTGAAGCTGGATGAATTTCACCCGTGGGTCTCCACTAGCAACCAGCCCCTCTTTGCTTGTTAGATATTATGGTAATCATAATACTGGCAGTGTGACATCAGTCACCCGCATGGAAACAGATTGATGTGAAAATCTGCTGATTAATTTAAAACCAAGTTCAAACAGAAGGAAGCAACTGGTTGACTTCATAGGCAGATCGCCGTGAGAAAATGTCAAGAGAGTCAGAGACGTTGTCATTAGTCACAGGAAGTAGGAGCTGCTACCCACCAAGTGGTGACAGTGCTCAAGAAATGAGGAGGAGAAACACGCCAGAGTCTAGGCCACCATCAAGAGATCCCCAGTACTAGGTGGCCGCGAACTCTAGGGAAAATTGAAAAGTGGAAGAAAACTATATTAAATTTAAGGATTGCTCCCTTAAGAAAATAAGAATCAGGATGGAGGGAGGGCAACGAATGGTGCACTGGAGAAGTTGGATGGTTTGAGCCTTTTCAAAGCTCTTTATGTCTCTTTTCACTCACCGGACGCTCCTGTAAGACAGCTGAGACAGGTGCTGTCATCTCCCCGCAGTAGGTTTCTTGTGGTTGTCAAAGGAAAGATCCAGCAGACCACCAGCTTGAGCATATCCTCAAAGATGGCTGCAGTTTCTGAAACAACTGTACAAGACAAAAGGGAAGGGAGAAAACGCCATGCCACTGCACTGGCTAAATAAAGGAGAGGAGGGAACCACATGAAGGAGTCCAGAGAACAGGGGTGCCGGCCTGCCTAGAGTGGGTCCCCAGCTCTGTCACTTGCCGGCTGGGTGAGATAGGATCCAATAAGTTACTAACCCCAGTGTGTCCCCTCCTCTGCACCTGTGACGGGCATGACTGCAGTAGTCTGCATGCTTCTGTCGAGAAGGGCACAATACACACAAGGCGGCATTATATTCATGTTCCCAGTCAGTCCAATTAATCTTGAGTCCTCTCCTCTGAGAGTTTCCATATCCAGTTTCTTCCATGGCATTTACACTTCACCAAGGGATTCCAACCCTCCTCAGATCCTGGGAAAGCGCTGAGCATCTCTGGGGGGATGGTTAGGAAGGCTCCCAAGCCAGCTCCAAAGTTACTGAATGGAGCATCAGTTTCCATACAAACACACAGTGTAATGTTTACCAACATCCAAACATGGGATTCACCAAACAAAGACTTTGAAAATTGACACATTTGTTCCCATCAAAGCAAATAAATGATAGGCTTGGTTTATTAGGAGGCACAAGCATTTTGTTTACATTTCCCAGAACTGCTTACAACAGAAAAGCAACCAGCAGGTGGAACTGCTTCCATTTTAAACAGCAAGACTGCTGGAATGAAATAGACATTTCTCGAATATTTTCTTGGTCAGACCTCTGAGAATTCAAACAAAGCAGGTTGAGAAAGGATTAAACCAGATGCTGGCAATCAACATCTGGGGGTTGAGCCCCTACCATGTGTGAACCATTCTGTCTGAGCTGTTTTTGTAAAGATCTGCCTTATGTGTATCCATGATCCTACTGGCAGTGTTACGCCGTTGAAGAATTCCTGTACTCTGCGGAATCCTGAAATACCTGGCTTCGGAGTGTGGAGCTTTTCTCTCAGCTTTATCTGTATAGTCGTGGCCATTAGCTTGGGGTTTTTTGTTTGTTTGCTTTTTATTCTCTCCAGAGCTGCAAAGATGTTTCATGACATTTCTTGAGGGAAGCAAGTTTTAATTGCCAATCGACTAGGTATTCAGCATGATAAGGTATCTAAATCCTGAGAGCTTCCTCTTTTCATTAAAATGTAGATCCAATTTCTCTTCCCTTAATGCCGCATGCTGTTATTAAACCGAAATAACGGAAATAGTAAAAGCCAGATGTTACTTCAGTCTCAGGTTCGATGTGGGGCACAATTTCCTCTCCTCAAGTTTAATCTGCCAGTTATTTAGTAACCCCATCCTTCAGAAGAATGCACAATTTAAATGTAAATGCAATTTACATAGAGGAGCAGATAGTAGATTTGCAGTTTCAATTGCCAATAACCATTTGCAAAGGGGAAAATCAGCTAAAGCAAAGATCAGCAGCTGTCAGTCTGAAGTTTTCATCATTCACCATTCTCAGATAACCCTCCTCTTGAAGCCACCTGCCTCTGGGCTCAGCTATTAAAGCAAAAAGAAGTGGAATACAGTACTTTCCCCAGATACATCAAGCTGAATTTACTACTGACTGGGTGGGGAGTGAGGGGCAGGTTTGGGTCTCAGACATCTAAACCTGCTGCAATCACTGCTGAAACTGCTAGTCGACCAGTGCGTTTCAGCCACTACTTATTGATCAGCTGCTATCGGATAGGCATTACGCTTGGCCTAAAACAGGGAGAACTAGAGGAGGCTACAACATACAAAAGCTACAGTCTTTGAAGGAGCTCATTGTCTCTAAGAGAAAACAAATAATTATGAGAAATAAGAAAATAAGGTGTCAGCAGAATCAAAGGTTTCCACAGAGTTGAGACTTCACAAGGTCGTGTCACAGGAGGGGCTGGCCGTGGACCGCGGAGGGGTGTGGGGAACAAAGGAAATCGGCCAGGTTGGAGAGGTTGGGGCGCCTTTGTGAAGCACAGCGAGGACCCTGCTAAGGAGCCTTGGTACATCTGGAAGTTTCTAAGTGGGACATGGACATTTCATGTGACACCGAGCGGAGGATGGCTTGGTAGGGCAGAGTCCGGTGGCTACAGGACCACTTGGTTAGGGCAGCAGGGAGCAAGGTGATGATTCGGTCTGGGGAGGACTAGAGAGGAAGACGCGTGATTCACTAATGGCCGAGAAGGCGGAAGAGCCAAGCAGGACATCATCTGGTTGGTGTTTCCACTTCCGTTCACTGGCACAGATGCTGCTGAGCTCAGGACAGACCCTTTGTCTCAGCCGGGAGCGCGCTTACATAAGAAGCAACGTGGAGTTTGTCCTACCCAGCCCAGACACTTTAAAAATTAGTCTGCACTCATCCCTCCAACTCCTGGTTATCCACACAGCTTGAAGGCAGAGCGATGCAGTCAATCCATAACTCTCCTGTCTTTGGCTTTGGGATTAATTATGCCTTTTAGAGTAAATTTGCCTTCCTAATTAATCTTTCTCAGACCAATATTAAAATTAACTAATATTCTCTGAGCCCCACTCCAGCAAGGCAGGGAAAGGGGGAGCAGGCTGGCTGGGCAGCCCGAGGAGCCAAGGCCACAGTGAAATTCACTTTGGCCCAATGGGGTGGGGTGGGGGGATCTGGCTCTCTGACAGAAATATTAGACTCAGGCCCTTTGGGAGTTCAGCACCTACTACATGCCAGGCACCTGGCCACTACTGAAGAGGAGAAGAGGAGAAAAGCAGAGGCTGCTCCCTTTTCCTGTTCCGGTGAAGCATTTTCCCTGGGAGATAATATGCATGAACAAGGTTAATGGAGGAAAAAACCAGCAAATCTGTATTAAACAAAGGAGGGGGGGTCACTTAATTGCCATTTTATGAACACAACAACAAATATGCTTTTAATAAAATGAGTGCGCCTAATTTCTTTTGGTAAGCCAAATTAGTAAATCCTTCTGCGTGAATAAGTGTGCTCTTTCCTAGCAATTTCAAACCAGGATACACTAGCTCAAGGTTTCCTCAGAGATGCCTGGAGCTGTCCTGGGGGGCAGAGAGAAGCCCCACTCCCAGGTGTCCACAACAACCCGCCCTCCTCTGCTTTACACCAGAACCTTATGAATGCCATTCGAGGAAATATTTCACTGCTACACAGAAGTAGGAAGCTACCCATCCACCCTGTTTTCTGAGCTGCTTCTTAAAACCAAAGGGTCCCAGACTTCATTTCCTGTGTGAAGAAAAACCAGATCTTTGATGCTGAGAGATTTCAATTTTGGTATACTACAAGTTCTGCCGCTAGAGATTTATGACACATAAACCATACGCAAGAACTTTTAGATAATTTGTGGGGAGGGAGAGACATCTAAGGTGAGGTTCTTGACCTCAGAGATTACATTTTGGACAGAGAATCAAGCCAAAATACACTAGGGAAAAGATGAGTGACACATCAAAGTTCAGGAGCTGGGGATGAGCTCAGACAGGTGCACTTACCTAGCATGAGCAAGGCCCCAGACTCCACCCCCAGGACTACAAAAACCAAAGGAGTCAAAGTTCCTAATCACATGTCAACAGAGCGGTAGTTCTAAGTGTTCTAGAAGTTCAGAAGCAGAGGAATCTCCACTGAGCACTCAGGGCAGTATTCAGGGATGGCACCCTGGAGGCGGCTCAGAGAGGGACCAAAGGGTGGGACCAAAGGGCTGGGGATTTACCTCAGTGGTTTCGGTGCCTGCCTTGCAAGCACAAGGACCGGAGTTCCATCCCCAGTGCCAAAAAAACCAAAAAGAGTGGGACCAAAAGCAGAAAGCAGAGAGAAGTCTCTAGGCAGGGACATGTCACAGACAGAGGCCTAGGAACAGGGATGGGGACAGCACTCGGCTGGATGGATGTGGCTTGAACCAGTCTGCAGCGTGCTCAGGGATTTCTGGAGAAGTACAAGGGCCACATCCCTCTGCTTCGAGGATCTTTCCATTTCAGCGCTCTCTGCTGTCCAGGGGGGCGGACGGCAGGAGGCCTCTGAAGAAGTGTGTCCTGGGAAGACCCGGAGCTGCCGGGCAGTGATCTAGCAGTGCAGGGCAGGCTGGATCGGCAGAGGACAGGAAGGGAGATAGTGGCTTCCTCACCTTCGTCTCCTGAGCTAACAACAGTAGTGGAGAGACTGCAGGGTGGCCCTGAACTAGGTGAGCATCCAGCCAGGAGCTCAGGAAGCCCCAGGCGATGTTGGAAGGCAATTTTAGAAAGATTAGGAGCACGGGCTCTGGGGCAGAGCAGCCTCAGTCCATATCCTGGACTTTTTGTACCACGGCCTGCACCGGCTCTGTCACCCTGGGCCCTGGCTTCCTCACCTGCAACACGGAAATAGGAATCGTACATTCCTGCTGGAACTATGGAGAACTGGGACAGTGCAG